GGAAGGAAGGAAGGGAAGGAAGGAAGGGAAGGAAGGAAGGAAGGAAGGAGGGAAGGAAGGAAGGGGGCAGTGTTGAAAAATATAACCAACAGAAAAAATTCACTAGATGGGATTGTCAGCAGATTTGAGATGGCAAGATAGTAGAAAATGAATCAGTTAATTTGATGACTAACTTCAAATTATTTAATGAAAAGAACAGAGAAAATAAGATAAAATTAAAGAGCTGTGGAGACCTATAGGATAACATAAAGCATATCAACCACCTTGTAACGGGAGGCCCAAAAAGAGAGGAAAATAAATGTCTGTAAAAGATACGATGTCAGAGCAGATATGATGTCAGAGAAGAAGATAATATAGGAGGAACAAAAAAATACACGAGGCATATAGAAACAAACAACAAAATAGCAAATGTAAATCCCAAAATACCAATGATGACATTAAATATGAATGAACAAACCCTTCATTTCAAAGGCAGAGGTTGTAAGACCAGATTTTAAAAATAGGTTCAATTACACATTGTCTATAAATTCGATAATGCAAAGAAGTTGAAAGTTAAAAGATGGAAAAAGATACACCATGCAAATGATAACCTTAATAAAGATGGAGTGGTTGTATTGACATAAACTAAACACTAAAAATGAAATATTACCAGGGCTGAGAGGGCAATTCATAACACTGAAAGAAATAGTTAATCAGCAAGGCATAACAATTATAAATGTATGTGAATATATATACTCTGAAATACAAGAAGAAAAAATGGAAAGGAGGCATTTAAAATTTAATAATAATACTTGAATATTTTAGTAATCCTCTCTCAGTTAGTGATAGAATAACCAAACAGAAATTTAGTATAGAGAATACCTCACCTAACTCATATAAATAACAGTTCATTTCAAAACAAAACTATATATATTCTTTTTGAGTGCACATCAAAAATTCTCCAGGATAGACCCGATAATAGGCTATAAAATAAATCTCAATATATTTTAAGGGGCTGAAACCATGCACAGAATATTCACCTACACAACAGAATTAAATTATAAATCAACTTTCATAAGAAATCTGGGATATCACTGAATATTTGGAAATTAAACAATTTGTATCAAATTAACTTATGGATCAAAGTGGAAATCCAAAGGGAATGAGAAAATATCTTTAACTGAATAAAAGTAAAAACTCAATATGTCAACATTTTTAGTACACAGCAAAAGTAGTACATACAGCGAACTTTGTAACTTAGAATATTTAGAAATGCTGAAAGATCTAAAATCAGTAACCTAATTATTCACATTCAGAAACAAGAAAAAGAAATACAAATAAATTCCAAAATATAAGAAAGAACAAAATAAAAGCCAAAGTAATTCAGTGAAATCAAAATTATATGAACAATAGAGAATCCATAAAGAACATGCTTTTCATTCAGTAATTCATAGTTTGGTTTCTTGAAATGGTCAACAAAATGATCATCCTTCAGCTAGACAGACCAAGAAAAGAAAGAAGATACAAATTACCAAAATCAGGATTGAAAGAAAGGACATCACTACAGATTTTACAGAGTAGAAAAGAATATCATTAACAACTATATACCAACAAATGAATACATTCTTAGGACGACATAGATTACCAAAACTGACTCAAGAAGACATAGACAATCTGATGAGGTTTATTTTAAGTGGAAAAAAGGATTGGTAATGAAAACTCTTCCCACAAATGGAAGTCTAGGCCCAGATCATTTGGTTGATACATTCTGTCAAACTCTGAAGAACAAAATAGTGCTAATTATAAAAAACATTCTTTCAGAAAGTAGAGGAGAAACACTTGCCAACTCATTTTATGAGATCTGTGTTACCCTGATACCAAAGCCAAAAAGAGAACATCACAGGAAAAGACAGCTACAGCCCAATATTTGTTCTAAACAGACAATAAAGTATTTTTCAGTGCTGAAAAGGAATGAGCTGTCAAGCCACGAAGAGATGTGGAAGAACCTTAAATGGATATTACTAAATTACAGAAAACAACCTGAAAAGGCTGCATATTATATTTCCAGGGGTATAACATTCTGAAGAAAGCAAAACTATGGAGACTAAAAAGATCGGGGTTCCCAGGAGTTTGGAAGGAAGGACAGAAGGATAAGTAGGTGGAGCACGGGGGATTCTTAGGGCAGTAAAACTATTTTGGGTAATACTGTAATATTGAGTAGACATCATTGTACAGTTTTTCAAACTCATAAGGTGTACAACACCAAAACTGAAGAGAATCCTCAATGTAAACTATAGACTTTGAGTGATGATGTTTCAATGCAGGTTCAGCGGTTACAACAAACCTACCACTCTGCTGAGGGATGCCCATGATGAGGGCATTCCATGCACGTACGGCAGCAGGGGGCGTATGGAAAATCTCTGCATCTTCCTTCTCAATTTTGCTGTGGACCTAAAACTGCTTTAAATAAAGCCTTTTTTTTTTTTTAAAGAGATACAACCTACAAAAGAAAAAAATACATTCACTTAAGTAAAAAAGGAAAATTCACTTAAACTCTGTTAAGAGTAAACTTTTGCAACATGGTAAGCCAATGATAGGTTAAAACGATTTTCAAATATTCTTGAACACTTTAGTTGTAGGAAGGAGAAACAATATATTTATGTCTATTTGAGCAGCTCCCCAGGGGTGTGGACTAGCAGATTCTATTTATTTTAGCGAATAATTACGGAGTATCTTCTAAGAGCAACATACTGCTCAATGTGTTGGTATTCTTTCGTGACTAAGACACAGACCTGCCCTCATGGAACTTCTAGGCTTCCGGAAAGATAGAAAATAAACAACTAATACATACACAATAATTTAATTGTAATTGTAATGAGCCCTTTGAAGGAACAAATAGATTGAGGGATTATAGGAAGGGAGGGACAAGAGTGGATATGATGAAACCAGTTAGGAGGCAATTGTAGACACTCAACTGAAGATAACATTAGCGTTCCATTTCCCCTTCTCAGATGATCTGTGGGTCTGAAGGCTATGTAGGAATTTAGAGATCATAGTAAATTACAATTATGTTAATTTATTCATATAATTTATCAAAAATTAATAATTATAATTAACAGTTACATTTAACATGAGGACAGTAAGTACAAGAGACATTAAGAGATTTGCTCAATGTTCCAGAAATTAACAAAACTTCTTTCATTTATATTCTCATTAACGTGTTAGGCTTCTCTTTCCCCCCATAATTTGTCTAAAAGGCTAAAACTTCACTATTGTCTAATGTACATAATTTTAAATGATGTGTTAGTTTATGCATATTCTGCCAACACTAAAATGAGAGCACCCTTCTTGCTCATGTCACAGAAGTTCTGGGACTGTCTACGTGCAGTATTTCTGCTGACTCAAGACTGTGTGTACTATCAACTCTGAGTCATTGTACTCTGGGGAGGAGGTCCAGTGGCTGGAAGCTCCCTCTCTGTCAATCAGGGTGTGGAGAGTCTAGAGATGCCTTCTAAATGGAGATTAAGTGGTCAAAAATAAAATATTTTTACCACAAGAAAGGGTAGAATATATGAACCCAGAGAGAATGGGCTTTCAGGAGTTTCATAATTGATCGAGCCGCAGATTTTTGTCTTGGAAGATGAGACTAAAAAGTTCATTTTGGCAATTATGTATTCTTAGGAAAGAAGTGAACTATATGTGCTGCTTCTCCAGAATCATCACTGGCCCCTCTGGCCTTCTGAAATAAGTTTACAGTCCCTAGTCTGACCCTGCTAAGTAACAGTGAGGCTGGATGTAGTCTGTAAATTTCAGGTTCCTGTGAAATCTGAGGCTTTCCATAATCTCAACTCATTCATGTATGAGGCCAACTGTGTGTGTGCAACCTTGGTCCATGGCAACGCAGAAAAGTGGAATTGAAAGATTATGGAGGTAGCCACATTGGCATCTGGATACCTCTCTAGCAACTTCATAGTTTTCTGGACTTAAGCTATTCATTTCTAACTTTTCTTTTTTGTGGGGAGGGGGAGATGGAGTCTCACGTTGTCTCCCAGGCTGGAGTGCAGTGGTGCAATCTCAGCACATTGCAATCTCTGTCTCCTGGGTTCAAGTGATTCTCCTACCTCAGTCTCCTGAGTAGTTGGGATTACAGGCACCCGCCGCCACACCCAGCTATTTTTTGTATTTTGAGTAGAGATGGGTTTTCACCATGTTGGTCAGGCTGGTCTCAAACTCTTGACTTCAGGTGATCCACCCACCAACTTCAACCTCCCAAAGTGCTGGGATTACAGGCATGAGCCACCATGCTCGGCCTATTTCTAACTTTTGTAAGCATGATTCCTCATCTGCAAAATGATTTTTAAAAATTGATAGCCATTTCTTGGGGTTAATAAATGATTTAAAGCAACATATATTAAGTATTTTATATATAGATGCTTAACAATGTTGAGAAGCTATTTTTATGATGACTATCCCTAGTCACCCACAACTAATCATAGTTTGATATTTTTTTTTATTGTAGACTCTTCCCAAAATCCTTGATAAACTAGCGCCAGCATTCACAATGAGCAGCTGCAGCTTTCTCATCGAGAAATCTCGAGCCTCCACTGCCCGGGTAGTGGTGTGGAGAGAGATCGGGGTGTCCAGAAGCTACACCATGGAAAGCAGCTACTGCGGCTGTAACCAGGGCCCCTATCAGGTATGTGAGGCTTCAGGACACCATGCTTTCTGTCCAGCAACAATACACAGAAATTACAGATAGCGCATTCCTGCTTTCTCACCTAAAAGGGGAAGAAGGCTCCAAGTAGAGCCTGGTCCTGCTCCCTTGCCTTGAAAAACTGATTCGACAATTGCTTTCACCTGCAGGATCATCTGTGTTGATCCTGGAAGCAATGCGTGCATGCTTTCCAGTTTGGTTCCTCCATCAGCTCCCCTCGCCAGCAAGCAGCAGGGAGCCTCTCTTTGACATGCATCTTCTACTTTTATAGAACCTCTGCCTGCCTGGATCTGTTACTTGCATAAAAATCTTGCCTTCTGCAACAAGTAGACTAATTCCATGTACATCATAAGGGCATAGGTCAGGCTGTAGATATTGTTGGTACATATATCTGTTGTGTTTCTTCTGCCTTCTGCACCGATCTAATTCTGTAGCTCTCTTTGTTATCCTGTGGTTTCCAGAGCACACAAAAGTGTGTGTGCATGGTGTGGATCTCCCAGAATGAGTGGGTCTCGGACTCATATGCTAGTGTTGAGAGAAAGTGCTTTTGTATAAATCACGTTCTTTCTACAGCTATATTAACTGCATGAGCAGCTGGATAGCTGCTACAGCAGGCTGTTCTGGCTGCTTTTCCCACTCCCCCATAGAGGAACATAAATAAGGGACATTTTGACAGTGCCAAGGTAATAGACTCTTGTAAATTTCTTAGGCAAGCTGACAGAGTGCTCCTTGGTGACTCCCATTCAACCCCAGGAATACCTGGATCTCACCAGCACGAAGCTCGCTGTTGGCTTTGATAGTCTCCTGGAACAGCTAGGATGCACTTGGCATCTATGCAGTCCTGAGCTTGTAGAACTCCGTTAGTTACCAAAGAGAGTACAGGGAGTGACAGGTGATGCACATTATGTAACTTCCCACCTGGTCAAAGATTTTTTAAAATTCCAGGCTACTGAACCACCCATTTTGATTATTACGTCTGTCAAATAGCCACGTAGCCTAAAGACTTGTTTCAAAGAATTGTTATGTTACTGAATTAATAAATTCTTAGTCTGAATTAGTCCTATTCACCCCCATTAATGTAAATGAAGAATAAGAAGAGTCGAAATCATTGGATGAGCATGAGATTGGGCATCAAGAGATCTCACTCTTTTACTTACAAGCAGGGTTGAAAGCTACGTACTTCTAGGAACCTATGTTTTTCATATATCAAATGCAGATTTTAATAAGAACGCCTTTTATCCTACTATACAAGATTTTGTAAGGACTAAAAGAAAACACATATGTGAATGTACTTGGAAGTTATATAATCAGGAATCTGTTCACTCCCTTGTCATTCAAAACCTATAAGATCAGAAAAAAATATGCTTGAAATATTGTGACTTTAAGGCATTACGGACATAGGTTTGTGTCTCTCTGTTTGTATGTGTCTTGATGGGAAGGGGCCTGTCATTTGTTTAAAAGACAAATCCATGTAACTCGTCGGAGATTTATTGGCTTGGTAACTTTCATTGAGTTTGTTTCTCTAAGCACCGATTCAAACTAACAGCTTCTAGTCACATAAGTATCAATGTCATTCATAATAAATCAACTGGAAACTCAAAGTCCTCCAGAACTGTTTGAAAACTGAATAACTCATAGGTTCAGGCCCTCACCAACTCTCTTCCGTGCAATGTACATAGAGGCTGTTGGAGAGGACAAAGAATGGAAGGTCTCACCCAATAGATTGCCTTCACGTATTGGCACACCATTTATCCTGTGAAATTTTCCAAATGGAGTTTTCATGGGGTCGCTAGAAGGAAGAATGGAGGGAGAACTGGCTAGAGAAAGCCCTAACAGTGCCAGACCTGGGTTTGGTTTAACAATCCCGTTCTCTATATGAAACACCTCTCTGAATGTATTGGTTTTCTCCTTCTCTTTGTTTGCCTGTCCTTACAAACATCATTGAGTAACTGAACAGAATCACAGGCAGTCAACAAGGGGGTGGTGAGTAATTTTACATATGGGAGGGCCCACCCATGGGAAGGAGGCCAGCCTGGAGTTGGGTGTTTTGGTGATGGTTGCGTGAGGTATATAATGAAGCCTATGAGCTATAAAGCAGCATAGAAATTTCCATCTGAACATATTGCAAATGCTTTTTGTACATTGGGAAGCTGAGTCCCAGTTGAGTCTTGAGGTTATTATTTTAAGGTCATCTTTCCGTTTTTTGTTTAGCATTACCATTTATCCAAAAGATGGAGGATACTTAAATACACCCATGAGGGGCATTCTTTCCTTCCTTCATAAGAATATAAATATTTTTGCAGTTTCTCTGGTTAATGCAGCTTTAAAGTAGTTCCAATCATTTTTGCCCCAGCTCACTAAGTACCTGATTTGTTAGTATTGAAATGATATATCATTTCTTACAGTGACATTTATATTGGAACTGCATTAAAGAACATAAGCTATTACCTTAAAATAATGATTATTAATATGATATTTTCTCTTCTATTATCCAGTCTATAGTTGGCTAATTAGAAAAAAATTATCCTGCTTTTGTTTCTCTGGGATACAGTTTCTATTGCTAGGTCATACATGTAGATCTATAACTTGTATTTAATATGGAAATCCCACCCACTGAGAGATTTACTTTACCTATTAGGGACGGGCCCAAAGCTTTTGAGGCTGTTAAGGGAAAAGCCATAATGTAATGATGCGTCCTTTGAGGGCTCATTTTTCAGAGGCATCCAGTCTGTGTGGACAGCTGTGGGCTTCACACTGAGTGTTTGTGACCTGAGGTCACATACATGGTGTGTTTGCATACACAAAGGCATGTGGCTGGGCCCCGGGGACTACTGGTGGCTTAGAAGGAGGATGTAAGTCCCTCTACCCAAGCAGGCTGTTGACCTGCTCCTTACAACACTGCTAACTTGGACAGCGAAGTGGATCTTAGAGACGGACAGAAGATACTAACTCAGCTGAGATTTGGAGAGTTACCCAACTTGTTTTTAAATTCTTTATCTGCAAGCTGCATCCTTGTATTGTGGGACCTGCCTGCAGTTCATCCTCTCTACCACCCGTGAGGGCTCCTTTAATACCCAAATCTATTCGAGTCACAGTATGCCCATAATCCTTCTAAGTATCTACACTGTGTCTCGATAAAATCTAACTCTTCATCATGGTGAGTAAGGCCTTTTACAATATCTTCTTTCAGTTTTTTACACTCAATGCTTAGTTAGTAAGTTGGGGAGAGATAGCATGGGGAGAAATGCCAGATATAGGTGATGGAGAGGAAGGCAGCACATCACACTGCCATGTGTGTACCTATGCAACAATCTTGCATGTTCTTCACATGTACCCTAAAACCTAAAATGCAGTAAAAAGAATGTATAATGGCTGGCAAGTGAGTAAATAAGTGAACAAGTGAATGAATGGCAATTTCCAAGCAGTCAGATGATTATCCTTGCTGTCCTTCGGTAAGTAGAAGAGAAGAAATTATTGTGGTCCAAATGTGATCAGATGCTATTCTAAAAATTGAGATTTTAAGAGTAGTTACAATGGGTGGAGATGGAAATGTGTGGGTGAAAGAAGGCAAAGCATAATAATGCAGGGCTGCGACCTCTCAGACCTATCACTAGAAAAGACTTGGGAACACCCAATGGATTATTCCCCAAAGTAAGGTAATTCCATTCCAGGTGTGGAATCTCTTATTGCCACTTTCTAATAACAGATGATAATTAGGCAGAAAGACTTCCATCCATACACGTAGTAGATGCTGCAGTCCGTCCTTGAGGTCCCTCCTTAGGACCCAAGCACTCATTTCCCTTGCTGTCTCTATAACCAGGAATTACTTGTAACTAAAGGACCCCATCTTGCCCAATGCTGTGGCTCCTCCCCACCGGCAGCCTACATCCAATAGCTGATCTGTGCAGGTACAAAATACAGTCTCTGTTGCTAGATCATACACTTAGATCTATAACTTGTAGAAATCCCACCCACTTTGCCTCAGTTGGGAATGACTCCAAAGGGCCATTCCAGTTCTAGAGCTCCCTCCAGGATCAGCTGTCACCTCTGCTGCAATTCCCTTGCAGCTGAACCTCCCTCTCTGCCCAACTTTATTTCCGTAGTAACTCATAGGTATTGTTACAACAGGCACTCCCCAAAAGTCCTCAGCAAATCTCAGCATCTCAGAGGCTGTTTCCTGCTGTAAACAACTTATAACAGTATTTCAAAAAGGCTTAGATTAGAAAGCATGCACGCTGGAACTAAGCACTTAAATTGTTGCAGATGGTTTCGTAGGAATAAATTTCATATAGGAAATTCAGTCATCGGAACTCTGTGTTCAAGGCTCCCAGTGCCCCTTCATTCATTCCACTTGCTTTAGCTGTTTAGGGAGCAGAGTCCTCTACTACAGAGCTAGAGACTGCAGATCAGAGCAGGGCTTCTTGCAGTATTCCAGAATGTGGGCTGGGTGTATTTATTTTCTGTGGCTGCAGTAACAGATTACCACAACCTTGATGGCTAAAAACAACATAAATTTGTTCTCTCACAGAAGATGAAAGTCTGAAATCAAGGTGTTGGCAGTCCTGTGTTCTCTCTAAAGGCAACTGTTTCATGCCTTTCTTTCAGCTTCTTGTATTGCCAGAAATCCTTGGTGTTTTTTTTTTGGCAAAGCGCCACTGCAATTTCTTCCTGTGTCGTCACATTTCCTTCTCTACTTGTGAGCCTCCGTCTCTGTGTCTCCCCCCTTCTTCTTAGAAGAAGAAGACATATTGGAATAAGATCCCACCTTACCCCAGGATGACCTCATCTTTTTTTTTTTTTTAATTGTACTTTAGGTTCTGGGGTACATGTGAAGATCATGCAGGGTTGTTACTTAGGTACATACATGGCAAGGTGGTTTGCTGCCTCCATGTCCCGTCATCTATATCTGGCATTTCTCCCCATGTTATCCCTCCCCACCCCGCTGTCCCTCCCCTAGCACCCCCCACCCAACTGACCCCAGT